AAAAGTCATAAATTGTTGTTCTTTTATGTTATAATTATCAAGGCTATAAATATAATTAAAATATAGAGACTGAGTCACCTTACTTTTTGTTGTTATGTACTCTGGTGAATATGATGTTTGTGGTGTTACTCTGAGTATGCATCCACACTGGGCAAACTGAAAAGTTTGCCTGACCATGGTCAGACATGGTGGGAATCTAACCCACGACCTTTGGGTTATCACTCCAATGCTCTACCAACTGAGCTATGAGGTCACCTAAGTATATAACACTAATACACACAAAAAGTATCATGTCTTAGAATACATTGATATCGAAGGAACCACACTCAGTCCCAAAATATCACCAACTCGAACTGACTTAACCTAGTAGTTCAGTTGGTTGAGCATTGGACTGGTATCCCATTAAGGTCACAGGTTCGATTCCCACCATAGTCAGGCAAACTTTTTAGTTTGTCCCGGTGTGGATGCACACGCAGAGTAACACCACAAACATCAAGTTATGACCATGTTTACACTTCATCCATGCCTGACAATCACTGACACAGGCAACATATCAATTTGCCTGAGTGTATGGAATGTACAATTCCTCTGCACCGGACGGCAGTGAGTCTAGGCTCTAGGAATTGTGTATCGTTTTTGTGCCAAAAGATTCGACAGCAATATAAGCTGTTGTGTACGCAAATCACTGATTTGTGCACAAAACTGGACAGCCTTTTCTTTCCATGCTGGGCAATTTAGGCCTCTAGCATGACTAGGTCAAGCTGGCAATGTGGCCCTTCTATAACACAGTATTATCCATGTCATAATTTTTGTTTCATTTAGTTTAATTTCTGCCTTCTGGACGTGCTCAAGCCTTGGCAACAAGTACACAAGTTTTACTCTCTTGAAGACCAATTTGTCAATGAATGATTGGATCATATTGTGTTGTCTTTGTAATATAATATATGTATGCCAGATCATATTGTGTTGTCTTTGTAATATAATATATGTATGCCAGAATGGCAGTGCAGAAACATTAAATTTTTTTACAAAAATATGTTGAATACTCTTTCATTTCTCTCCTAGTATTATTACATTATGCAAGATGTGGACACCAAATATATGGGGCTGTTCCATATGAGATGTGCTGGCATTACAAAATGGACCAGGCTACTTAGGTACCCCCATTTCAAGTTTGTATTCAAATGTGGATACATGCTTTATTTTGCCATTCAGACACCTATAAATCTAAGAATGTAGAAAGCTATCCAAAATTATATTGCAATTTCTGCATAATGCTTGCCAGGCTAGCCTGCCTCCACTAGTGTATGAAGGCAAGCTAACCTGGTTTACCAGGCCAGCCCAACTCTTATGAACAGCTCTCAATGTAGAATGGTTTCATATAATATATTCCTTTTGTTCCTGGAGATCTTAATTTATAAACTTTTTTGCTTTAAATTTCATGCAATATTACATATAGTTTTATAACCTACAGTACCATGCTTTCATGGTCAAAAAATGTCACAGCTTTGTTATACACAGTTATTAAGCCACAAATGGTCAAAGGTCTACGGAAATTATTGGGGGGGGGGGAGGTATTGCCCACCTGGCCCCCTAGTGTCCACCACTGAATATATGCAACATTTGAACTATTGCAACAAATCAGACTTGTTTTAGACTCGTACACTTGTGCTTATTAAAATACCAATTGGGACTTGTTGAAAGTTTGTTTATAACAATATAAAGTACAGAACTAAGTAGTTCCTATGCAAGATAAAATCAGCTTGTAGCCAATGTTCAAAAGGTATCTTTGAATGTTAGTAATATTTGAAACAGTTCCAAGGTTCTTTCAGACAAATCCAATTGAATCAATATGACTGTGCTGGCACCATACTGACCACCTTCACTTCCTATTCTGTGATAGTGACTTTGCCACTTCTATAAAAACAAAAAAATACATTAAATTCAATCAAACTTGTACACGAAAAACAGCTATAAACACATGGAAGTGACCACGTGTGCATAAAAAGCAGCTCTGCTCTGGATGAAAACCCTCAAAATGCTCAAATCTATATGATATTACTGCAACATCTGAACAAAAAAAAACGTATTCACACTAGCTTTAAAGACCAAGACAACCCGAAAAATAAAAAAAATATGATATGTACGATAGTTGCAAAGATTAACAACGATTCACTAGTTTAAAACCTATAAACATAGTCTGTATCGTGTACTGTATATATAAATGTTCGTCAACTCCATATTTAATAGTAATATTTGTAGCTGATAAATACCTCGATTAAATGTTTTATTTGACCAATAAATGAATAAATACAAACTACTTACCTTCCTCTTGGGTGTTTTGGTTTTAAAATCTAATTTTATAAGCAAATATCCTCAAAATGTCAATTTTAAAACAAATCACAGCTCTCACTCCATATATTTTATATCGATTCCAGCTGCAAGTTACTGGCCAGATTAATGGCCGCCGTCGTATTTCCGGCATGCGCGACACGACATGCGCGAGGACACCGACTTCAAAGGATCCGACATTCAGTTGCCCTTCTATTCATTTCTTATTCTATGCCTCTGGGAGTTTCGTGTGACGTCATCGCTTAAGGGCTTCTCTCTTGCGCCTTTATCTCACAGAAGGCCCAATATATAAAAGACCAGAAAACTGCAGATGGAAAGGGATTGAACTACCTGAAAAATACAAGAACTTCGACGTTTCGAGCAAAAGTCCTTCGTCGGAATCCTACTAAGGGAGGGGTCATTATTTATGGCGGGGGGTGGCACCGAAGAGAAAAGGGTTGGGTAAACAAAATTTTGAGTAAGTAAAAGGTTGGGTAAATGAAAAAGGAAACAACTCAAAGGTTGGGTAATAAAAATTTATTGTCATTTCCAAAGCATGACTCACTCAAATATCGAAGACTGAAAACTGCAATGTAATATAATATGTCAATATAATATGTCAATCAATCAATCAGAGTCACTATCTTGATGATTTTCCGTTTTGTTGGGAGACAAATGGTGTCTCCAAAGAAAGTAAATGTGCAGACAACATGAAGCTTTAGACTGCAGAAAAGTCAGTAAATTTCACAAGCCGAACGTTATCAAACTCGTATTACAGAAGTGGTAAAGGACATATGTGACAACTGAATGACATCCTTTTCTAACGTTTTTGGCCAGGGGTGGGTATTTATTTTTTAAATGATATTTGAGGTTGGGTAATCAAATTTTTGATATTTTAATTGTTGGGTCAGCAAAATTTTTGGCACAAAAAACATTTCTCTTCGGTGCCACCCCCCACCATAAATAATGACCCGTCCCCAACCAAAGTTTTACTTGTATTTTTCAAAGGGTTGAATCCATAGAAATGTCGTAGACTGACGTCACGCAATAATAATAACTTTAGTTAAGAACTGTCAATAAAAAAAACCAAAACAAAGCGAAACAGTGAGCGAGACGAGACATGGCGAGACGCGTATACTTTTTTAAGATAATAGATTCTACTTGAGATTTTGTAAACATTATTATTGAGAAAACGAACAGTGAAGGGACGAGAGACGAGAAGATTGTACGAACGGGTACACTAGAAATAAGTATTTATATCGGGCGTAATAATAAAAGTTATAATATCAACACGAGAGAATATATTATTTCATACAATTTTACGGGGGAAACAATATTTACTACAGAAATAATAGACATGTCTATTATTTCTGTGGTTGAATCCCTATCCATCTGCAGATTTGTGGTGTTACTCGGCCAATGTAAAGTAATCCATGCACGCCTAGGATTTCGGATTCCACTCCGATCCCTGGATTCCGGATTCCTCTCTTTGGATTCCGGATTCCACTGCTTGGATTCCACTACTTGGATTCTCAATTCCAGATCGGGCGTGGATTCCGGATTCCAGAAAATTGGCCCAGGATAAGGATTGTCCGATGTTTGGATTCTGGATTCCACTGTTTGGATTTAGGATTGCAAAGCTATTATTATTATTACACTGCACAGACCGTTCGAGCATAGATAAAAGAGCGATTCTAATAATAGTGGATTCTAATTACAGTGTTCCTACGTACAATCCTTAACCAAAACAAAGTTTGCTTCTCTTCTTAGGGACGGACCATTAGAAAAGTGATGGGGAGGGTGGGGAAAAAACAGAAAAAAAATCGATGCAAACAAAAAAAGGTTTGAAAAAAAATACATGCAAACAGACTTGTTTAAAAAAAAAATTACAAACAGAACAACAATAGAACTTTAATTTTAAATGCACATCAGACAAAATTGAACTAAATCTTTGGAATATTTCAGAATATAAATATATCAAAATATATAATATATTAATATGCAATTTCTTTCAATATTAACAGTAACTCTTATGTAGTTTTATTATATACTATCAAAATATTTTCTATTGTATTTACTAATTAATTCTCATTCACACTGCCACTGTCCTCAGTGGCGTAACTACTATGGGCTCGGACTGGGAGAATCCGGGGGCCACCAACCCCAATGGGCCCGCAAATGGGGGGCCCCAGGCTCAGGCTATAGAGCAAAAACATTGGCCAAGGGCCTCTGATATGTTACAATGGCGTTTTCTGACCATCAGAATTCTGTAAAATCTCTCCCCAAAGTCCGGGAAATGGTATTTCAGAGAATTTAGATTCAAAAATTTTCCGGGTGAGCATGCTCTGGACCCCTAGAAAACTTGTCCATATATGGTGCTTAAAGATATAATTTTGCAGTGTGTATTAAAGGGATATTTTTTGTCAAGAGAACAGTTTCGTTAACATCTGTATAGTTGTATTGGAAAAAAAATTGCATGCGAGAAGACATATTTAAAAAAAACATGCATACACAGCTGACAACCTGGAAAAAAAATGCAAACAAAAAAAATTTACCCCCCCCCCATCACTTTTCTAATGGTCCGTCCCTTAATTGACTAATTGTTGGATTGTCTTCAAAGATACCAAATATCTGTCATATTATAATTGGTTTAATTAACATTAGTCATTTGTCTGTCGTTGCTGTCTGCCTATATTTGTGTGTTTTTCCGTTCTTATCTAATTTGCTTGTTTGGTTTCAAAACGTTGTTTATAAGTTTTACGAACTCACACTGACCTCACGTTCCATGTCTTGTTCCACTTCATCTGATATTTCTGTCCCTGGATTTTCCTTTTCAATTGATAATTTTCTAATTTTGATGTACTCTGCTTTTTCTATCTGTGTGTCTGCCATGATTATAATCAACGAGTTGTAATCACAATAACAGAACCATGAACAAAAGACAATAAAACCATGAACATAACAAGTTGCGAACTTACCTTGGTTTATGTCAAACTGGTCAAAATATTCAATGAGATTTTGCATTTCATCATCAGAAAGTAAAAGTGTGATATTTTCCTGTGAAATCATCGAAATAGAAAACGTTATTGTGCAAACCGGTGCCACACCAGTGAAAGTTAAATTTCTCATGGTGATTGACGACAGTATATAGAAACTAAATATACATTATATATGGGAAAGAAAATTACTATTACACCCTTTTCATAAATGGCTGCCGATTAAAAATTCTTTTATGTGCATATAAATTGGCCCAACTAGCCTCGTACTCATGTTAAGATTTCAAAGGAATTTCTACCCAGAAACGAGGCTAGTTGGGCCAATTTATATGCACATAAAAGAATTTTTAATCGGCAGCCATTTATGAAAAGGGTGTATAAAGTACGACTGTTTTCAACTTTTCACGCACGTTATCATAATTGTTAAAATTACAGGCAAAAATGCATAACCTCTATTCAAATTAGAAAGTATATCTAATTTTCTTCTCAGCTCCTCCAAAACAATAAAGAGCTGCGAGTCATATGGGTACTAATCTACCTGGGACCGGTTGTACAAAGGCTGCCGGGATACCGCTATATCCACCGGCACTGGGTATAGTGATTTTTTCAACCGTTGAAAAAAAATAATGCTTAAAAAAGCTAAAAAATTACGGATATGCAGCAACCTCGTACCCAGGGTTTCATGGGAGCGGAGATAAAACCCTGGGTACGAGTTTGGAGGTTGGTTCAGGGTATCTGTAAAATACTTTGTAGATTTTGATTTGATCGATCCAAAATAAACTGCTGAGGGTGTGATTATACTTGGCCACTGGTATAGCGAAATACACGCAAATTTTGAATCGGAGACCACGCTGCGGATGTTTATCCCTATGCAGGGCCGTCGCGAAGAGACTTAAACAGGGGGTGGTGCCTGGTGGTATTGTATTTGCTGACAAATTTAAAATTTTGTGGGGGCAGGTCAAATTTTTTGGGGTGGGGTGGGGTGGGGGGGGGGTGTGAACAGGTCAAATTCGGATTATTAGACGAACAATGTAAAACTCGCCGAGGAAATCCTTCGTTTTGCCGACAAGATGTTTTTAGGAGGGTGTCACAACTCCAACACGCCTCTCTTAGCGACGGCCCTGTCCCTATGGGGCTAGAGTAATAATAAAACATTTAAATATCCATACACAGTAATGACAACTCCATCCTGTATCTGTTCCTGCTCTTGAAAACGCGTCTTTGGATTCCTTATCATTTAACTTCCTTGTTTTCTGTAAACAGCCTTCATGAAATACCCGGGTGCAAACACGACATGGAAAAACTTTCTTGCCATTGAATTTGGAGCAAATAGAACAAAGTTCATCTGCTTCAACCTAGATGAGAACGTTTAAAGAAAACTCTTCGCATTAATGCAATACGCATGCAAACTTCTTCCTTGACGAAGTCAGCTCCTTGAAAGAGTATTTCCTGCATTTACAAAAAAATTGCCTTTGACTTTGTAACATTAATTGAAAGTTCGTACTTCTGACGAGTGCTACTGTATATATGAATGCCGTGATTTTTGTCATTTGTTCTCTGAGACATTTTTATTTTAGGTATCTAAATGAGTTAATAACTCTTATACATAATTCTAAATTTCTAATGCCTAGTTACTTTCGTTCTCAACAACTGGCCTTTGTAGCTCAGTTGGTTAGATCGCTGCACCGGAATCGCAGGACCGCAGCTTCAATTCCTGCCAGAGGACCTAGTGTTGCACTAGGACTGAACGTATTGTGTATAGCACTGAACGGTCGTAACTAAGCATGTGGGTTATCCGAAGTTCTGAATTGGGTAGCAACGATGTTTTGACAACGTCATCCAAATTTGTTTATCAAAACATTATTATATATTCGCCACATGTGATAAGAATCGTTTCATCAATCAAAACGCCCGCTGAGACGATAAAATCCACATGCGAAAAATATCGTCCGTCGTGAAGAATGAGGATACGATTTTTATTCACCCATCTACTACCTCATCAAACTCTAAGGTATTCATTGGGCTTAAATCCCTAATGCTCTTAAAAGGTTATTCAGATAATCACATAAATAATGTAAGTTAACGTTTGATAAAGTTCAAATTAACATTTAATACATAAAAATTACCCTGGTAAGCCAAGCTTTAAAATATGGTACAAATTGGTCACTTGTTGCACCCTTGAAGAGAAGTGAATCATTCACTTCATACGTGTCTACCAAGGAAATAGGTTTAGTTTCCTCCTCTGGTTCTGTAGGATTTGTTTGTGTGGCATCTTTAGATCGACTTATTCGCTGAGCATTCACTTGTAAACTGCCCACAACCATAGCATTTTGACGCACTTTGTTCTTCTTTCTTGTCTTGGAAGCACCGGTACCCATAACTAAACAAACATCTGAGAAATAGAGCACCTTAAACTGTATATATCAAAGCAAAATCATGACAGTCAGTCATGTACGATGGTTATTGCACATCGTATCCATGTCATATCAAACTATTATGGTGGTATAATGACTACAGGGATTAAATGACAAAATATAGATTATAAGTGTTGACGTTGCTAAGGAATTCAACAATTTATGCATATTTAATATTGTGTGTATGCCTTTTAAATGTTAGTTTAAAGATAAAGAGCAAAGCCCAGCAAATAACTTTAAATCCGAACAGAAAAACAAAGCCAAACAGTGCTGGGCTCTGCTCTTTATCTTTAAACTAACATTTCCGCCTTTTAAATGGTTCAGATTCTGATGACTGCACGATAAAGAGCTGGCATATAGTCCATATACCTGTTACCAATATCATACAATAAGTCGAATGAGCATACCGGTTCATCTTATACTCAAAATCCTGATATTTAAAAAGGGGATGTTGACAATTAATCAGTACCGGTAGGATAAGCTAACCGTGTAACCTTGTTCTTGTATATCCTTCTAGTTAACATTGATTAAAATAATTGATGTACATAATATAATAACTGAAACTGTCTAAACTGTCGTAAATAAACCAGAGGTGACACGGTCCAAATAAACTAAACTGACATAATTATGACTTTGGATTGCTTTCCTCATGCGCATATTCATGCAATGATTCATGCAGAAAAACATACGCAAAAATGCAAAGTTTCTAATTCACTGAACTGTATACAGATATTTATCAAAACTCAAACTAGGTCGCATTCTCTAAACTCTGCACATTTTTGTGAACTATACATAAAATATTTCGGCAACTATATGATTATACCTAAAGATTCAATCAATTTCGTTTCAGTGTTTTTTGTCCTGTGATGATGTTGAGCTCGAGATCAGTATGGGACGACGTGACCTATATGGGAAGCCGCCAGTCCCGGTTGATTTCAGTGCATGTATTAATTTAAAGGAATGTGCCCTAAAGTCAACTTAGAAGAATCTTGGAGTATAGAAGGTGACCCAACTCAGTAGTTTGGGCTGGTGGTATCGTCGGTCCGACCGACGGATTATATTGCACGGGGAGCTGAACGTCAACGACAACGGTGTTTGTAATATACCAACTCCCCAATTTCGTGCAGTTTTCCACAAGGAAATTGTACTTTGTTCCGCCACAAAGATTAGAAATTGTGTTTTGTGTTACAGACATGCACGCGTGTCCCTGGAGCTCAAATGTTATTTTAAAATAGATAGAGTTAAACACGCGTGGAAGTGCGTGGTCCTATAACTCTATAGGAACACTGAAAAAAGTTTTCTATTTCCTTTATTTAATAGCCTGTAAAAACAATCAAAAATATAAATTTATTGATTTTAATTACATTCATTCAAATATTAATTCTATCTTATACGTTCGTGTAAAGAATAATTAAAGCATATGGCAGTAAACAAGTATACAGCTGTCGAAACAACAGACAGCACTTAATCAGGCTTACATTACTAAAGTATACTAGGGTACCTGCAAGGTAGGGATTGCTGCGGGCATTAAAAGCAATTAAATAAATAGAACTACAGTAAACAGCACAAATTATATCAAGCACAAAATGAAGTAGCAAAGACAAGGGGTTAAAAGGCAATCAGAGGTGACAGATATTAAACATGTGCGTCTCATTGACATACAGGTAAATTAAGATCAGATTTCATATCAAGTCCGTTTACTGCTTGGCGCATTTACCACATTATATAGACTATATACACAGATTTATCACACTAAGAAACCAAAACTTTATAAAAATATAGAACTGACAGTGGCCAAAGTCCAAAACAAACGTACGAGTAACATTAGACTTGAAAAAGCTTTAGAAATTCGATAAAAATTCGAAGACTCGAGCGAGTTTAAAATTTGTGTTCTGCGCATAGAAAGCGCGCACGACCACAAGCGCTAAATATGATTTAGTTCAAAACCCCCTCTCTGCACATATTAGGCTGCTGCTACGCTCGCTCGCTTCAGGCTCGCTCGCTCCGCAGCAATAATTCAATCAACAACAGGCTTGCAAAGAAAGCACTGTTAGTAAACGTTTGAACATAATTAAAATTAACATTAAAAACGTCGCGAGGAAATATTTTTTTAAAATTATAAAGATAAATATTTTACCTTGGTAAACAGATAAAACGTATGCTGTATTATACTTTGTACTTTGGGACCGGTCATTATTTATGGCGGGGGGTGGCACCGAAGAGAAAAGGGTTGGGTAAACAAAATTTTGAGTGAGTAAAAGGTTGGGTAAATGAAAAACGAAACAACTCAAAGGTTGGGTAATAGAAATTTATTGTCATTTCCAAAGCATGAATCACTCAAATATTGAAGACTGAAAACTTCAATGTCAACAGCCATCTGTCAATACAATATGTGAATCAATCAGAGTCACTATCTTCATCATTTTCCGATTTATTGAGAGACAAATGGTGTCTCCAAAGAAAGTAAATGTGCAGACAAACATGAAACTTTAGACTGCAGAAAAGTCAGTAAATTTCACAAGCCGAACGTTATTAAACTCGTATCACAGAGTGGTAAATGACATGTGTGACAACTGAATGACATCCTTTTGTAATGTTTTTGGCCAGGGGTGGGTATTTATTTTTTAAATGATACTTGAGGTTGGGTAATCAAATTTTTGATTTTTTAACGGTTGGGTCAGCAAAATTTTTGCCACGAAAAACATTTCTCTTCGGTGCCACCCCCCACCATAAATAATGACCGGTCCCTTTGTGCTTGGGCCGTGTCGAGCAAGCTGAGTAGGTCTTCCCCAATTCGCTTTCTAAGTTAGCAAAGCGTTGTCTTTTTTGTAACGGTTCTTCGGCGTTTTCGGACGTTTTCCAACTTTTTTTTCAACATTAAACATTGTTTGTATTTTGTCTTTTAAACTCCCGCGCAATCCACGCAACCCACGCGAAAATTCCCGTGTTTCTATCGAGTAATTATAGAAACACGCAGCCTAGTCCCTAGCCGTTCTGCAGCTTTCACCAACGAAAAAACCGATAAAACTGGCTTAGGTGTGACGTCAGCTAGTTGTGATGTTACCGCGCAAGTTTGCACCGCAAGTACCCCTTCGTGCCCCTATGAATCAAGCATAGTAAGCGCGCAACGGAAAGCCTAAAGTCGGTTTTCCACTAGCGATTTTTTTCGCGCGAAGCGAAGTTATTCCTTTGTCTTTGGGCAATTTGTTCCAGATGGTTGCAGCTGAGAGCTCTAACTCAATAGCAAAATATCGCTTCGCGCGAAAAAAATCGCTAGTGCCAAAACCGGCTGAGAAAGGCAAGGCTGAGAAACCCTGTTTTTTTTAGCTTTTGACCAATCAGCGACCGTGTTTTTAAAAGGCTATTTTATAATTTCCCTTTCGCGGTACGGCTGGAGACATGTGACGGGTGATGTGACGGGCGGAATCACCGAGGGAAGGGATAAAACACTGAAACGGAATTCCGGCATAGCGGAACGGTACGGAATAAGGGATAAAACGTGTTTGATTTAAATTAAAAATTATTTAACAATTATTGCTTTCTAACAAGTTTTAATAAATTCGGAAATGGCTGACTTAATTCTGTATAGAATACTAGAATAGTCAATACTTTATATTACTTTTGTCATTAAAAAAATCAATTGAAAACTTCAACAGCTCAGTCAATATTGCATTAAATTTTCTTGTATACATCACAATTTAATTCTGACCAAAACAATATGTAGTATTTGAGTTCACCATTTGTACTCTACGTTCATACATGTTATCTTTTTACGGTAGGTTCAGTACCCCGTAAATATTTACAAATCGACAGACGGTATCGATCTAAAATGGCACTGACTTAGTCCAAACTCTCTAAGACAATGTAAATGAGAAGGAGTTAATTAATTAAATATGGCACGATTTCTTTGAATCCGACAAAATCGCCATTTGCGGACTAAAATACGATTGCTTTCTTCTGGCATGTAGTAAAACACTGACTACCGGAACACCGGAACACCACCGGAACACCGGAACACCACCATTTTGTTTGGGGTTAGGGTTTGGGGTTATAGGGTTAGGATTGGGGGTTAGGGTTGGGGTTAGGGTTAGGATTAAGGGTTAGGGTTGGGGTTAGGGTTAGGTGGTGTTCCGGTGGTGTTCCGGCGGTGTTCCGGTGTTCCGGTAGTCAGTGTTTTACTACATGCCCTTTCTTCTTGACTTCTTGTGCAGCTTAGACTTGATTCTAACTAATTTGGCTAAATTGTATCAAAATCCCGAGAAAAACCGACCATTAATTTCATTAATTTCATTCAATTCTGACCATTAATTTCACAGTCATCATTTCTCCAAATATACGGCCAAGATCGACTAATACAAATAAATTAATAACAGTGCGTAAGAGAAATAATGATGACACTCCTTTAAGCCTGGAAAGAAAACAATTTCTCTTTTCAAATTGTACCGAAATAGAGTCAACAGAGAAAGGAAATGATATAAACAGTAAACTCAGCGTTTTTGGAGCCTCAGCAAAATTACTCGAAACTATCCCAAGTAGTAGAATTGAGGTGATGAACCATCAAGTTCCTCGAGTTACCATAGAATCGTTGAAAAAAATTAAGAACAATATATTAAGGAGTCCAAAGCATCTGGTCCAGACGATATTCCAATGGTTTCTAAAAACCTTTAGCCATTTACTCGATCGCCGAATCAGTATGGCATTTAATCAATTCGTCCTTTCAAAAACAAATTTTACCTACTACGTGGAAAAAAGCCAACGTCATTCCATTCCCCAAAAATCAGACCATTGAAGAATTTAATAAAGATCTCAGACCAATATCTCTTACGCCTACCCTATCAAAAATTGCTGAAGAGTTTGTTGTACAAGAACATATGAAACCTGCTGTTTTTGGTATGTTTTTTCTTGCCTATATTTTTTGTAAAATGCCAAATTAAAGTTGTTAACATTCGATCAGACCAGTATATGGTTGCATTCTATTTTCATCCACTACGCATGCTCTAATATCAACTCGAACATTGACTCGAACCAACTGATGCTATGGGTTCAGAAGTAAGAGTAATTTTTGTGGATTATAGAAAAACAATCGATCTTATCGACCACAAATTGCTGATGTGTAAAGCTATGGAATCAATCTCTTTATCTTAAATTGGAACTGAGACCGAAAGCAAAGAGTTAAATTGGTGAACGACATCTTCTCATGTTGGGATGAAATTCTGGCCGGCGTACCCCAGGGAACTAAATTAAGGCCATGGCTGGGGAGTCACAAAATTTTTTCCACACATAAAAATTATAAACAAATCATAATTTTCCCCGAAATACGAACATTTTTTCAAACATATCGTGATTTTTTAAACTTTTTCCGTAATTTGTGGTAAATTTAGTAATATTTTTTGACAAAACTATTATTTTTTATTCCGAGCCACTTAAAAATTTTCGCTTACCACGAAAAAAATTTCCTGGCTTCATAAATCCGAAAACAATTTGCCGAGTCTAGCAGACATTTGCCGAGTCTAGCAGACATTTGCCGAATATGTGATGAATGGTGGTGGGGGGAAGGAGGAGGGGGGGGTGTTACACCCCTACACCCCCTGCTTTAGTATATATACTACAAGTCAAGGTATTGAAAAAAAAACAAAAACAAACTATCTATCCATCTATCACATTCATGTGGAAATAGAGTGACCAAAGGCAAAAGATAATTTCAGCATTGCATTGCAAAGATCATGGTTAAAAATAGCATAGAAACCGCGAGTTGGCAGTTTGGCGCCAAAAAATAATAGGAAGCCATTCAGTGAGTACATATAGCGAGACAAGTTGTAAGAGGGATGTTACACTGACACACTGTGTAATATTTTAGTAATCCGTAATTAATTGGAGCGTTGCTGCAATCATTGCCAAAAGAAGAACCTGATTCTACTTCTATGTAGCCTAACTCTAGCCAAAGTTTTAAAAATGTAGTTTTAATTAATGTTATTTTCTCAAAACACTTAATTAAAATGATACAAGATTCTTATTGCAGGCGAATGATCTGTTTGTTATAATAATTTCCCTCTTTATTCCGCGTTTTATCCTGTTCTATCCATTTTCCCGCGTTTTATCCCTTTTCCGCGTTTTATCCCCTATTCCGCGTTTTACCTCTTTTCCGTTTCCGCAATTCCGCGTTTTATCCCCTATTCCGTTCCGCAATGCCGGAATTCCGTTTCCGTGTTTTATCCCTACCCGAATCAGGAGTACTTCATGAAAGAAAAATATAATTCTATGTTCAAAGATGGCGGCGAAATCGCGAATGACTGTCATATTTGTGAAAGATGTTGCTTTTTCGCCATCTGTATCATGTAATATTCTTTATGGTCAAGAAAATGTCGATAGGAATGGGGATAAAATTATATATGTGGACGATGTTGTTCCCATGCAGGAAAACAAGCTCAAACAAATGCCGAACAATACTCTCGATAATGACTCAATTATAGACTCTCGAAATTCGAAATTTATACTTGGGTTTGTTTGCAACAGTAACAGTGTGGATCGTGAAATATTGGTTGAAATATTGAAACAAGAAGTGAAAATGAGATCATTTGGTGTTCTTGTAATATCTATAAATGAAATATTCAGTGGAAAATCGCTTGTACTCATACAGTCAGATCATTCTGGGCAAACGCCCTATTGCAATATCGAGAATGTGCCTGAAAGTGAAGTCCGTATTGTTTGTCTAAAACGGAATTTAAGCCTTTCCAAGTTGAGTTGGTTACGTTCAGTGGATTCAGATAAGACTATTAGAAAAAAAGAAAAGCTATCGAGGCATACTTTGAATGGAATAACTAGAGGTCACCAAGCACATATGGCAGATGAAACTAGGAGAAATGAAAGTCATAAAAGTTCTGTCTTCAAACTGCTATTTGTGTCCATTTCATGGTTACTCAGTTTCATGCGGCCTGGCCTAAAATTCCCAACAATTCTAAAACAATTCTTTAGCCATTTGCCTAAATATCTATTTGTTGCAAAACAACTGTCATACCGATTTGATCAAATTTATAATATGTTCGTCAACAGACAGGGAAGCCATGAGCAAGTTAATATTAATTCAAAGACAATAACTAATGGAAACCTGGTTATGTCATTATTAATCGACATTATTTTGGGGTTTCTTGTCATATATTTTGTGTTTTCGAACCAGCATTGTCTGTACATATCGTCATGGCTAATTGGTCAGAAATACAATATTGCAGAAAACTTATCAAGCCTGCTCAAATGGCTGATGGGTGCACCAGCTGGTTTCAAATTAAACATACCACTAAATCAATTCTTGGGAAATTTCTACATCTATCATGTACATCTATGGACAAACTATCTTTATTTTGTTGAGGCATATTTACCAAAAATAATTCTATGCTGCACACTGGCTGGATGTCTTGGTGTAACATTCCTGCTTGCTTTGTTATGTGACGTATTGTTACTTCTAACCGTACATATTTATTGCTTCTATATTTATGCTGCAAGACTTTTTTGTCTGGAAATTCATGTCTTGGCTTCATTGCTCAGGTTATTTACTGGTAAGTAAGATCTAGCCCAGTTAGATTTGCTGGTATTATACTTGAAAATGAAAAATTCTTCATTTCAAATGATTTAGCTGCCAAAACACATGTGGCTTGGTCATGGCATATTGTCAGACCAAGTTTCGAGGGTTACATACTTATATATTCAACTCTGCAGTACTGATGGGGGAGGTACTGATCAGGGGACACTGATCCATTAATGGAAAGCAACTATTGACAAAAGCAGGATGCATCATCACTGGGGGTAGCAAATCTTCGAGTTAAGCCCCTCGAGTTAAGCCCATTGAGTTAAGCCCCGACCACGCCCTTTTGAGTTAAGCCCTGACCACGCCCATGCCACACCCATTTCCGTTGAGGGCTTAACTCGAAGTACATAACTGGAGTTAGGAACTTCGAGTTAAGCCCTCTAGAAAATAGGGGCTTAACTCGAGCAAAGTCAAATATTTTGTTCTTCAAGTTAAGCACCAACGTTTGAAAGACGAGTTACAGTTAATCTGATCCCAAACAAATCAAATTATCATTTGGATCGCGTTTCGTTCAATCACGGTTATATTAGGGACTTCAAGATTGATGTTTACAGCTAATCTCTAACCGCAAACGGCAAACTTCAACTCGTAATTTGAAGTCGACTGTTAGCTGTTCGAAGTTAGAGCAACTTGTGCATAAAAATTGGACTATGAATTAGCTACTTTTAGCTAATAAAGGACTAAAGATTGACCTTTTCTGCTGTAAAGGTCAATCTTAAAATATTATCAAATTTTATACCGGTGTCCCAAAAAACACCGGACTCTGTTTGATTTCATGTAACGTAAAAGCTAAAGATCATTGCATTCATAATGGACTAACTTAGATTTTGATATATAAAACACTTAAATTTACATGCAATATTGTGCGAGATACAACCAAAATAAATATATTTATTATTTAACAATTATAACTACATATTCTGTAAATTATAATTAATCACGAATGTGTCATTTTAATTTAAAAATGAGCTCAGGGCTGGTTATGATAATTATGCATACGCAGGTATGTTATTGAAGTTCAATTCATCAACTTAAGTCCTAAATAGTAAAACTTAAAGAGTTAATTTTCAATAGTTTTAGACCCAATTCTTAACGGTGGAAATATGCACTTTCGATGGAAATATGCACTGTCACATTACATGGTTCTTACAACTATTCAAGTCTTCATTATATGGAACGATTTCATTAGACTGTACACATTTCAAAACGAAAAGCGGTCGCAAAATTTCGATCGCCTCACAAGTTGCGAAATGCAAATCTACCTTAATATACCGGGTGTCCCAAAAAACTGGACGCTGTTTGATTTCATGAAACGTAAAAGCTATAAAAGCGATAATGCATTCAGAAATGACTAACTTCGATTTTGATATATGGCACTTGAATTTACATGCAATATTGACTGCACTATTGATGTTTGAACACTGAACTACTATTTTTGAAAATGCAAAAAAATAGCATAATACAACACTTATAATTGCTAATCAAAATCTAAGTCCATTATGAATGCAATGGTCTTTATTTCATTGTTATAGCTTTTATAGCTTTTGCGTTACATGAATTACAGAAATCAAACAGAGTCCGGTGTTTTTTGGGACGCCAGTATAAAATTTGATTAATTGACCTTTACGGCAGAAAAGGTCAATCTTTATTCCTTTATTAGCTAAAAGTAGCTAGAATTCATAGTCCAGTTCTTATGCACATGCTGCTCTAACTTCGAACGGCAAACAGTTAACTTCAAATTACGATTTGAAGTTTGCCGTTTGCAGTTTGCCGTAAACGTCCATCTTAAAGTCCCTATTATATATAATACGTCGGCTGAAATAAAACGTATTGAACCGTGATTAAACAAAACGTGATCCAAATGATAATTTAATTTGTTTGGGATCAAATAAACCGTAACTCGTTTACATCTTTCAAACGTTGGGGCTCAACTCGAAGAACAAAATGTTTGAGTTAAGCCCCTATTTTGTAGAGGGCTTAACTCGAAGTTCCTAACTCCAGTTTAGTTATGTACTTCGAGTTAAGCCCTCAACGGAAATGGATGTGGTATGGGCGTGGTCGGGGCTCAACTCGAAAGGGCGTGGTCGGGGCTTAACTCAAAGGGCTTAACTCGATCGAAGGGCTTAACTCGAAGATTTGCTACCCCGTCACCGGGGTGCTATAATAGTAGTGTGCTAGAGAAACAGCCCCCTACAGTATTGAAGGGGATAGTTGGTGGTATCGGGGGAGGGGGGACAGAATGTATTTCATATGAAATTGGCAAGAATCTATTTCATATGAAATTGACACACTCTTGCCAAGGTTGGCTGGCATATTGTGCACCATGGGGTGGAAAAGTAGTCAATGATACCCCCCCCCCCCTTTATTATTTAACCCTCCAAAGTCTGCATGCATCAAATTGTTGCCCCCCGCCCCCATGCTGCATGACCACTTTTAATTTTAAAACTTCCCACTGTATTTTGAGCATTACTGTATTTTTGTATTTCACTTTCTATTTGCAGGAAAGAAATGGAATTTTCTACGTAGCAGAGTTGACTCTGTTGAGTATGATGTGGATAGGTTGTTTATTGGAACTTTGCTATTTACAATCTTATTGTTTCTTTTTCCTACGGTGTTTCTTTATTACATTGTCTTCACTAGTCTTAGATTGTTGGTTTTACTTGTGCAATCATTCTTATATGGTGTGGTGGCTTTGTTGAATTCATTTCCTTTCTTTGGATTATGGTTGTACGTTGTGAACCCAGAGAAGTTACCAGGTATGACCTCATAATATAATTTTATCATTAGCAGTACAGGAGCACACCCTGGCTATATAAAATCAGTGTCATTTAAGTTAAATGTAACAGTATTACTAGGCCTCATAAAGTGAAAAGGTCGCCCAAAGGGTTTATGGAGAGGTTCAGATTTGACCTCTCACTGGCTTAGTACTACATATCCGATGGTTGGTCGGTCACTGTCAGAAATGTCTACCATCTCTTGCATGGTCGTTCTAGCAACAAATCCACTGGCGTTCATAAGATCTCTAGTAGAATTATTAAAATAGCTGCACCTGCTATTTCAGATTCACTGACATATATTTTCAATCTGCACGCTATTGCCCTGTCCCTTTCCTCTTACGAATGCACAACGGCTAGAGTAATACCTCTCTATAAAAATAGCCAACGAAACCTGCCAGGAAATTACAGACCAATTTCAGTTTTGCCCGTCATTAGCAAAATTATGGAGCGAATTCTTTATGATCAACTATACAATTATTTAACCAAATTTGGACTTCTGAGCGATTGTCAATTCGGTTTTCGCGTAAATTTCACTCCACAGCTACAACATTTCTGGACTGTAGAAATTATTGGTATATGAATTTAGATCGGAAAATGTTTAACCTAGTAGTCTTAATTGACTTGAGAAAAGCATTTGATACTATTGATCACCAAATATTATTGAGGCTTATGGAATAAAAGGGCAAGCTTTACCTTTTCTAGAATCGTATACTATCTCTCAAATAGAAACCAAAAATGCCAAATACAAGGGTCTGTTTCATCAGATAAATTGATCAAATGTGGCGTACCACAAAGCTCTATTTAAGGGCCCCTGTTTTTTCTATTATATATTAACCATTTGCCTCAATGCCTGGATAAAACAAAACCTCGGTTGTTTGCTGACGACGCTAACCTGACAGTTTCTGGAGACTCTATTGCTGATCTTGAAACTGCAGTGACCTTAATGGTAGCGATAGTGGTGATCAAATCTGAATCTCACTACTGAGAGAGGTTCAGATTTGAATTTCATACACCACCGTTACCGTTTGAAAATTTGTAAGAAATGTTTGGGGGAACTGACAAAACTTCAAAACGTAAAGTTCAAAATCTTTCAAAACTTAGAATTTACGTTTGCAAGATTCCTACTCTGATCACAGAAACTATAATAGTGTAAACCAACCTTAGATGCCTTAGGCCTTTAAAGGGAAATGGCAATAGTTTTTTTATTTTTTATTTGAAAGAACTTTTAAGTCTATATATAATATTCTTTTACCGTTTTTTCATATCTTGCTTACTTCTACAAATATTTTGATTGAAAGGAATGAAATGTCCACCATCTTGTAGATGTGCATGTCACGTTACAACTGGGGTCACACAATATTTTTATCTAGACAAACACTATACTCTGTCTGCCCTTCGAAATATCAAGATCACTCAAAACCTTTAAAACATCTACCAATCAATATTTGGTCAGCAACGAATACTTTTTTTGGTTAATCCCTCATCAAAACTACCGTTAATAAGATCAAAAATGTATCCAAGATGGCGGACATCTCATTACTTCAAGTGAAAATATTTCGGTAAAAGAAGTTAATATATAGTTTCAAACGTTCTTTCAAATGAGAAAATAAAAAATTATATTGCCACTTCCCTTCGAACATAAACGTTTTAATTTTTTGTAATCAGCATTTTTCTCGCTCTCTTCACTGAAAATTTGGTGAAACACTGAAACTAGGCTAGATCTAAGATTAGTTGCGCAATGTCCAATCTACCAGAACGCACGTCTATCCTGTGATGTGACCTTATCATCATTCTTCGATTCTTTCGATGCTACTCCTACTATACATGCAAATTACCGTATTCTATACTTCACACATTACAGTGAAGTGCATGCATGCAGGCTAAACTAGGATTTCGGCGTTCTATAACTGTTACTGAAATACTCAATATTTTCCTGACACTTTTATTTCCTTACTTTAACAGGTCAAGTTATTGTTAATACTAAGACAATTAGCTGCACTCCTGGTTTAGAAGACTGCCTCATTATTGAAAACGTTAATATTATCCAACCAGATTCTTTCTTATACTTATCCTTCAGACACAAATGTGTGCCATGTGGAATCCTCTTTAGAAACTGTAGAAGTGTTATGTTTGAGACAACATATAGGGACATATTTGGTGAAGGCATATTTAAAAAACTTCTAACTGGACAAATAATTAGCAAACCGTAAGAAGTAAATTTAAATAAACAGAAGTTTAAGAAAACGAAATGTTTGTTAAAGTGCTTGACTATTGAGCACCAGCGCCACCCCCTTCACGAGTAAAATTGTCTGCATGGCGTTAGACCGAATAAAGTAGGGCCAGACATTGTCGCAAGCGTCACGACAAATGGAAGGTTTTAAAAAACATATCACGCAAGATCGCTTGTACATCATCTTTAACAGATTAAGTTGCATTGTGCACTAATGCGCCCTACTTGATTAGTTGACTTTGTCTCACGCCATACTCCTTTACTCGTCAAGGGGAGAGCGCTATAGGGCTGAATGGGTCCAAACCAGAATGGTCAGATGTCGGATTAACTCATACAGTACTGTACAGTACAGTACACATATACTGTACTGTACTGTACTGTACATATACACACATGCGCAGACTGGACTGTACATCATCTTCAATTATTACCATAACTATGTAGAAAAATGCCATTTTAAATAGTTTATCCTTAGCTTATATATACTGTAATGTGTAAAAGTCTTTAAATACTATATATTTTATACTTAGTCTTAGAGAGCATTTCAATTTGTATGTGTACGAATTACTAGGTCCAGTCGATAAATATGAAATAATATATAGCAGATATCAGTACGTAACATTGCAGGGCATGTGAGGTTATAATTGACGTTTACGGCAGACCGGTAACCGCCACTTCAAGTCGTATTTTGAGATCAACTGTAAGCTGTTCGAAGTTAGGACAATTTTTTTGTGCATTAAAACTGAAGAATGAATTGACTAAAAACCTGTCGAAACCTTCGGAAACTTGTAGACCTTACCTTCAAACGCGAATTGAAGTTTCCCGTTTGCAGTACCGGTCGGCCGTAAACGTCAATCTTAACCTCTCTGATACCTGCTATACACCCTAAATTTGTCACGCTTCACTAACTCAGTTATGCATCGCATGGACAGAAATGCTCAAAATTTTATGGTCAGGTCTGGTAAACCATGTCTGGATTTTATATATGAGGAGGTAGCCAAGAATTTTTGGGGTTGTTAGCCAGAAACGCAGGGTTCAGATGGCTAGTTTCACATGACTTTTGGAGTCGGCCTGTAACTACAGAAATTTTAATTCAACTATATACGCTTTGAAGTTTTGAAGCATGCATGCAATTTGAATTTGGTGTTACAAATAGCCTCCCCAACTTCTGTAAGATATTAATTGCATACAGTACGTACTGTATTGTCGAGACATTACATCACTCAATGATGAAGTATTTATCCCTGAACTTGCATATAATGTGCGAGCATCTCCAGTTCGCAATGAAAACTGTGTCACGTGATAGTGCAATTTACTTTTATGCAATATGGCTCGAAATGATCGACATAAATGGCAACATAAATGGAAGTTATAAGTTATCAAAGTCATTGACAATTCAGGAGTAAAACCATCAGCACCATATCATCCTGAATCCACGATAAAGTCAACTTTCAGCCGGTTTACGAACTAGGCGGAATTTTGTGCGCAGAGCGCAATTTTTCTTTGTCTTGTGATTTCTCGGGTGGAACGGATTAGAAAAGACCCAGAAAAAGTTCGCTCCGCGTGGAAAATTCCACCTAGTGGAAACCGGCTTTATGAGGAAAACACAAAGAAAAATAGAATCATAATCGCGTATCTTTATATGTGATAGATATTTCCCTTGATTGACATAAACTTTAATTTTGATTTTCTCGACTTACAAAACGTATTTTTTGAAAATTACTTCGCCAATGAACTTACTAGATCGATCGTTTTTGAAGCAATTTAAAATATTCGCAGTACGTGTTTTATCAGACCTAAAGATACTCTGCTTCGGACTTCGCCTCGTATCTTTATCTGATCAAACATACTGCTGCTCATGTTTTAAATAATACTTTAAATACGGGTTCCTTTGAGAAGTTATATCATTCCCTCCAAGTAGTTTAGTTTAGTCATTTTAAAACATCTGGTAAACACGACATTGGTTGGAATCAACCGATAAGAGTCGGGTTCCAATTAGGAAGTTTGTACTGCATGGTCGTAACCAGAGCATATATATTATTGTACTTGGCCCAATAATTCTACGTTATATTAAAATGATGAAAGTTGATTTTAAACCATGATGAAGCTCAGCGAACCAAAAATTTCTACCTTTATACTTGTATTAAAATTCACCAAAAAGAACGAACACGGAAAAATTTCGGAAAATTACTTGCTCGAATTTAAAGCTGCGCGAATAAGTCTCATTAAGGTGCGCGAAATTAAATCGCGGGAATTTAAAGCTGAGCGAAAATGAGTCCCGAATTTTAATACAAGTAAGGTAAATACAAGTATAAATTATGCCAGTACTGGGAAGCCTACCGCAAGCTTCTACACAGCTAAAACTATCAGGTTGTTGCAATATTGATGAAAACAAGGTTGAACAATGTTGTGCGGCCCACACAGTTGTCAATAATGTGGAACAATATTGTTACACCCGATTCAGGCTCAACAATATTGTTCAATATTGTTAACAAGTGTGAACAATGTGGGCCGCACAACATTGTTCAATGCTGTTAAACAGCAGGCTCATAATTTTTACGCGTGTATATAACCACTTGTTTTCACACATGCATGCATTGCATGGGCATAGCAACTTGTTTTTGATTGCATGCACGTGTGAATTTGCTACACAAACCTCGTATATTGTTTTACATACTTTTATTTGTAGCCACATATCTCTAGAATCTTTGGAGCTACATTCATTTTATTAATGCAAAACTGTATCAAATGTACACCATGTGAGTATAAGTTTTGTCTCATTCAATCTCATCGCCTAGTTCAGTTTAAAACATTACAAAACTCAAAATACAAAATCCTTCGTCTTGCTAAACCGTGCTTGCAATTATTTCTTTCGTTCCTTTATTTTCATATCTTCTTTTATTCTCCACATCATTAACTCAACGCAAGATACAGCATCTTCTAAACTGTCATGTCCCTCTTCTGTAAAGACAATACATTCATTGTAAATCCTGGACGTTATTCATCATGATATGTTGAAAATATACCTTCCACCGGTTTTGAATAAAACTATTAGGCAATTATTAAAACTTTTCTCTCCCAAGCCCCTTTATATTACGGTCACTTTGCTCCCTTTGCTCGCGCAGGACGAGCGACTTGTACGAGTCACGTGTGTAATTAGTCCGTGCGTGCACCCAGAAAGTTCAAAGTCGTTCGACTTTCACTGATGGCGTGCAAGCGAGGGCGAAAGCGGCTGAAAACTGTCAAGTGGACAGGTACAACGCATGTTCAAAAATGTTTGCTTGTCCCGCACGGGCAAAGCGACCGTAATGAAAAAGGCCTTTAGACCCCCGGGGATGAGGTAGAGGTCTGAGTGTAAACTGTGGTCTGATAAAATCATTATGGAATTCTGACATCAAACGATATCTGGTCACAGAAAAACGGCGAGCATGTCTAAATGCTTCATATTATTCTGACACTGCAATCGACCAACGAAAAATTTGTTGGCTCGAGCGGGATTTGAACTCGTATCTTCGGGTATCTAGACCGCCGCTCCACCCATTGAGCTATCGAGTCAACGGGGATTGGTAGCGAGTCTTATCCAATTTAAGTGCACGAAATATTTTCGTGACGACTTAACGCTTAGAGCGGCGGTCTAGATACGCGAAGATGCGAGTTCAAATCCCGCTCGAGCCAACGAATTTTTCGTTGGTCGATTGCAGTGTCAGATTAATATGAAACTGGTTTTTCGTATCTCTGAGGATGGTTCTGAAATGTCTAAATGCATTCCATGCAAAACCCCTGTCGTCTCCCCTTATATACAGTAGCTGCATGCATGCATGCTTACTGCTTTTGGGTACATATTAATTAACATTCACTGTTAATCTTTGTTGTTGTTGTTGTTGTTGTTGTTGGTTGTTGTTGTTGTTGTTGTTGTTGTTGTTGTTGTTGTTGTTGTTGTTGTTGTTGTTGTTGTTGTTGTTGTTGTTGTCGTCGTCGTTGTTGCGGTGGTTGATGTTGTTTTGTTGCTGTTGTTGTTGTTGTACAGCTTAATGTTTTGCTTGTAGATGTACAAAATGCTACGATCATGTGGTGAGTTGCCAAGAGCCATACTGTATATATCTCGGCATCTGTGTTAAAACACTCGGCAACCAGGCTAGCTTTGTGCTAGGATTGCGAGGGAATCGTTTTGACAAACGGAATAGAATTTTCTCATCAAAATACAACATTTATCCCGCTTACAGGGCCCATAAAGCCACATGCTGCACATAAACACTCCTTAACCCTCTTTTGCTTGAAACGTTGAGAACTGCTGTTCTTTTTCAGGCTATGGAGAACTGACACCCAGACCGGTGCTGACCCTTCAAATTGATCAATGTTATTCTACGTGATGCTTTCACCAGCTAGCTGGATTACTTATATACATATATACGTATCTATACTAACACCTACCGCTGTCCTGAATGATTTTCCTTGCAAATTCAGCCATTAATGTTTTCAATGCTCTTTTGTAAGGTAGTCCAAGACGATGAGGAAATACTATTGCAGTATCTACAACGGTGCTGTGAATGATCTGTAGAAACAGTGAAAACAGATCATATTTTTGTTAACAAGCTCGTTACTTATTAAAACTGTGTTATTTAAATAATTGCATTCGGTTATTATCTTCTAAAATGTAGTGGACCACTGTTGGTGACCTCCAAGATAAATAATAATACGAGTTTTCTTTTCACTTTGTGCAGAGCTTGATATCATCCTCCCAAAACAACATAAAACGTTACGCCCAAATGGCATACTTGTACCCAATGCACAATACATGCAAGTCTATTTGGAAAAAAACTTCATTATATATCAAACTCCCTTTACAGTATTTAAAAAAAAGAAAAATCATTTGCCAATAACTGTGACCTCTGTTAGAAGATGTGCAACCCCCTGGTTATATAAGCTGTACATCTAAGCTTAAGCCTGCTCAGTGCCCCTGGTTCATCCAATAATCCAATAACACTTACTTTTAGTGACCTTAAATCACTTTCCAAGCTATGTCCTAATAGTATAGTATCTTCATAAAACATACTCAGCAACACAGATTGAACATCACGTAACGACATAGTCACTCCAATCATGCTTTCTTCTGTTATACCACTAAATCTTAATGGGTAGACAAAACAAACATGTAAACACTTGGGCATGTACAGTAAACCTCTTGCATTTCTAAAATTGAGAAATTGTACATTTGTACTGTATATACCGCACGGTTTTTTTTGGAAATCTTATCAAAGGCGACGAGCACTCAACCTCGTACCCAGGGTCTTTCCTCTACGCTCCCATCTCGCTGAAGTACGGTTAGTAGTAGGGAGTTACTTTCATTGTTTATCATTCATATTACAAAGATGCCAATTTTTCTCACCAATACGCTGAAAAATGTTTCTTTACTTAATAAAAAACAGCAAATTGCTCACTAGGTTTTAACCGACGTAAGTCACGTAACTCCATCGAAATTTCATTTCATAAACAGAAATTTCATATACATCAAAATAGTTTCGGGATGCATACGGTTGAATTTTGAAACGCCCTCAAAGGACTAGTTTTCAAGCTGTACATTTTACTCATTTTGACAGATTGTACTTTGCATGCGGTATAGCTAATTATATATTTTTAAATATGTGGTATAATTAAGGAACACTCTAAGTTGTCGAATTCACGACGTTGGGAATGTGGTCGCATTGTGAATGTTTTGACGCGAAACATGACACGTTTTTCGGGCGAGATGACGCATCTATCTTGGTAATACAACTGCAATTGAGTTAACACAAAAAATATACTCTATATTCTAGACTGCTCTATGAAGAATAATGCAAATAAATCTGCTTTTGTTTGCGTTTTGAATCGTAATCTCCACGCCGAAACAAGTTATGGCACTTCACTATTGTGAAAAACGAAAATATAAAAGTAAAATACCTTGTATTATAATCGACAATATCATTTTCAGGTTTGACCAGAGTATCGTAGACTTCCTGACATTTATAATCTACCACGGTAACTCGAGTCAGTTCCAGGCCTTTCGTCGTGTAACACTAAATTTCAAAAACTCAATTACTACTCATTTTAGGTTCCAGTCTATGATTACGATTGAATATCAAGTGCCATGCACTTACCCCAAAAATCATTCTAAGAAGAAATGTAATTGCTGCCGAGCGCAGCACACTATTCTTGACACGCGGTCGTTTCTCAGAGTCCACTCGACCCAGTCTTTCGCGCGAGTTATGTACTGTCGAGATCTCGATGTTGTGTCTGTCTGTTTGTATGTATGTAAAGATGTCGTAATCCAGGGGGAATAATTAAGCTTCAGGAACGTTTGTTAAATGAGGGGAGCGGTCAGAAACAGCTTCAAGAATCAAAAGATTTTACAAGCTTTTCATACGGATGCAAGAGATCGAAAATATTCGGAAAAGTTCAGGTAAATATAGCTCTATTTCTTTCTTCTAAAATATATCAAGGCGATGACCTTTTTAATGTTCGATCTAGAGGCAAACAATATGCTTTTATGAGTTAATATCGGCACTTTTAACTGCCCAAAATATACGACTGATCGATTGGTCAAAAACAACATTTAATAATGTCTTATTTATATACAAGGAGACAAAATGTACTTGCAAGCTCTGAATGATATGGCTTTGTTGTCTTTAATGGAACCTGGTGTCGAATTGTTATTTGAAGGTAACTTTACCTAAAGTTGTCAGTGTTTCAAGTTGTACGAACATGTTTTATTAATACGAGATATGTGATCGGCACACATAATGTGCCAGCTGCATGTAGTCAGTGTAGTGCATGTAAAAACTACAACACCTGTGTACCCATGGTGGTAGGACAAAGCAGTAACAGTGTACCCATGGTGGTACAACAGAACAAGAACAGTCTACCCATTGTGGTAGGACAGAATAGTAACAGTCTACCATGTGGTGGAGCCCATTGAGGCACAAAATATCATTCGACTACCCATTGTGGAGCTTAGAGCCCACTGAAGCACAAAATAACATTGATCTGCCCATTGTGGTCGAGCCCATTGGGGCACAAAAAATCATTGTTCTGCTGCCCAATGTGGTCGAGCCTATTGAAGCACAAAATAACATTGTCATTGATCTGCCCACTGTGGTATGAGCCCATTAAGGCACAAAATAACATTTGACTACCCATTGTGGTAGAACGCATTGACGCACAAAATAACATTTAACTACCCATTGTGGTAGAACCTGTTGAGGAAAAAGTATCACCGATCTGCCCACTGTGGCAAACACTGATCTATCCATTGCGTTAGAGCACAATAGGCAATTCCAGCTTCTAATTTATGTGTGCACGGGATGACAGGAAGTAAGGTATCATATTGCTGATTATGCTGAAAATTTTCAATAAAAACTGCCGAAACAACCGAAATATTTCAATATTTACAAGTATAAACTATCACTCTGTGTTTACACAGCCACTTTTTTATTTTTTTCGCAAAATCAGCAATATGATACTTTACTTCCCATCCCGCCCTGCCAGCGCCGGATTAACCATATGGCAGAAGCGGCATATGCCACGGGCCCCGCGCTTTTGGGGCCCCCGCGCTTACTCTCTTCAATTTTTTAACGAAATTTTTTGTTCCATGTTTCAGTGCGAGACTCAAACAGTGCGCCAGCGCGGGGCCCTAAAGAGCCCAAGTCCCCCACCAAACGCGAGGGCCCCAATAAAGCTGGGCCCAGATGTTTTTTTTTGTTCCCTGTTTCAGTGCGGGGCCCCAAAGAGCCCAAGGTCCCCAGAAAACATCAGTCCCCAAAATTTAAAAATCGAGGCCCCAAATAGTCGGGCCCGAAACGTTTTTTTTTTTCTTTTTCCTGTTTCATCGCAGGATCCAAACAGCGCGGGGCCCCAAAGAGTCCAAGGCCCCTAAAAGCGAAGCCCCCAAATAAAAAAAACCCACAAGTTTGTTCCTTCTCTGGGCAAGGGGCTCCAAAGAGCTCGAGGCCAAAAAAATCATAGGGGTCAGAAAATATCAAAATTTGCAGTAAACAGTTAAATACTAAAAGATTGCGAAATCTTGTGGAAGATGGCAGAAGTTCATATGGACGGTATCATGTTTAGTTATTTCTCCCCTGCAAGTAATAATAATGTTAATGGTATAAACTGGGTTGAAATTCAGTTCGATCAAATTATTGATGTTTATTATATAAAGTATAGTGCTTTATAGAGATTTCGAGCACTGATGAAAGTGATAATCTCACATGTGAGATTATTCATGATAATCTCACATGTGAAAATTATCGCTTTTCAATTAGGGACTGGTCATAAAGTAACTGTGAGGTAAATCACAAATTTTGCCAATACGTTCGGTGACCCATCTTAGGATGTAGATAAAAATTTCAAAGCCCATCTAATCTTACAAAAAATTTTTCATGACCCACTCAATCTAAATTGGGAAAATACACTTTTATAATAAAAAAAAACTTGCAGGTATGAACATTGTAAATATACACGGCACTGTATTGACATACGTAATTCCACCAAGCTTGACCAACACATTGATACTGAACTGCTCTCCAGTTGGTTGTATTTGCTGTGATTCGACCACTTTTTGTTGTTGTATAAACAAAGTACTTGCTTCAATAGCATCATTTGCATTTGATAATTTGGATAGTTTTGTTTACTCTTATTATTAATATCTTTATTTTTTAAAGTAGACATGCATGGGTTTTTGTTTGGTGGCCCAACCGTGGACATACAAAAAAATTGGCGGCCCATCGAAACTGCTCAAAGCTTTTTCATGGCCCATTCCAAATCACTCCAGCCCACCCTAGCAGTTACTTTATGACCGG